GTCACCTAAAAATGATGATTTTGACAACACAATTGCACCAAAACTAAAAATACACTCCTTTTGAGAATAGGCCCACTACAACTACCTATTCTCAAGCTACAAAACCATATAGAAAAAGTTCCAATTAAGTCCAGTATTACAAAGAAAAATTGGCTAGAAAGGTGGGGCTTGAAAAACCAAGATTTAGAAAATAACAGCTCTTTTACTTAACACAAACTCTAAATAATAGCCCCACTACAACTAGTAAACAATAACCTATCAGTACAATAAAAAATGTTGGCCTAATTCAACAGAGTTAAGCTAAAAAAGTGGCTTGAGTGAAATGTACACAACAAGTAGGCTATGACATCCATTGTAGAACTATAATATGCACTCAAACTATCGTTTATGAGCATTATTTCAATATATAAAGGCTTTGCAAAGTCCTCTGAGGGATCATTCAGCTACTTTAACAAACGAATAGGCTACTGTGATTGTTTTACTTACACTAGCCATTAATTGCAGTACATTAGCCATCAGTAAAAGTCGGGATATTCCAGTATTTACCCCATTCCATCCTCTGCAAATTAAAGGTCCCTCCTGCTATTCTCTTCGATCTAATAATAACGGTAACTTTTCTCAGATCACTTGTAAGACATCTACATACTCAAACTCATTTTACCCATCTGCAATTAATCAATGGAACTATCTTCCCCCTCCCCTGAAACTTTCTCTTTCCCTCTCTTATATTAAATTTTTCATTGACCACCGTCTATAATACTGTACAATATTTCAACAATTAGCTTTGCTATTATTATTATTATTAAAAAAAAAAATCTTTTTCAATGTGGGCGTGTTTAACATTATACACCACACCTACCCACGTGGTGCCACCATGGCTGCATCTGCTAAAAGTTAAGTGTCCTTTCTGCCATCTGTCTTACCAGTTTTCATCTTCACTTTCAAAGCATGTTAAGGAGAAACATAGCAATGAGAAAAGCGTCAAAGATTCTCACGTTTTCTGCAATTTATGCGGCTCAATGTAAGTATATTTGAGTATATATACAGTGCTAGAAGTGACACTATTTAATTTAGGGTTTTAAGTGTGGCAAAGCTAATTGAGTATCTTCATCAAATCCACAACAAGGAAATCAAAATAACAAACCATGAATTTGGCGTTCTATTGATAAGTTTTATGAGTGGAAGAAAGGGAAAGAAAGTCATTCAAAGTCTTTTTATGTCAAGAACAGTGCCAGTCGCATGCAAGGTCTTAACAGGAAATCCTATTATTATTGTAACAGGTCTGGTGTGGTGCGTCAGTCGAAAGAGAAACGTCAGAGAGCTCCCAAGGTTCAAGGTTCCTGTAAAACAAATGAATACTGTACTGCATGCACACATGACAGTGATTGAGGATTTTATTACGAAGATGGTTAAAGTCACTTATTGCAGTCATCATGGTAATCACAAACCAGAGGTATGTCATTTGAGAGTACCTGATGAAGTAAAGAATGCTGTTGCAGCTAAGCTAGCTGAAGGAGTAACAATTGAAAGAATACTGGATGATATTAGAGACAGTGTAACTGGTACTATTGAAAGGGAGCATCTTATGAATCGTCAGGATGTTCACAACATTGAATACAAACTTAATCTTCAAAGTATCGAGAAACATCAAAATGATCATTCAAGTATAGTAGCATGGGTTACTGAAATGCAGGAAATGGAATGTCAAATGAGAATGATCATGATAACATTGATACAACAGTAGTAGCTGAATCACCAATTGCAGATCTATCCACAGATCACTCAACATCTTTATCACTTACAGAACATTCTACACTAGCACCAAATGAGGATGCTGTACAAGAAGAAAATCAGCTTGCCTATTATTCTAGAC